TGTTACTTACATTGTGTAATATTTCTAAAATATTTTTAAACTTCTATTTAAAAAAAGATATAAAAATATTAGTGTTTAATAAAAAACTAATGATTATAATTTATTAAAAAATCTTGATATTTATTATATTAGTTTTGCTACTAAGTAGCAACAGGCTTGCTGTTTTTCATTATAAAATAATGTTTTTACGCAATTTTGTATTTTATTTTATTTTATTTATTGTAATTTATTATATAATACTAAATAATAAGTAATAAATTTGCCAAGTTTGTGAAACAATATAACTTTTATTGAACAAGTATTTAGTGGTTTGTACCAAATGTTACTTTATTATTATTATGTTAATACTTCATTTTATAATTTTTCTTGCAGCACAAAAAATAAATGAAATAAAAGAATAATAGATATAAGAAAATAAAAATAAATTAAATAAATTGAAGTTGAATAGTTGAATATAATTTTCCCTTTTGTATGCCTTTTTGACTATCAATATCATGGTGATATAAATTTTCAATAAGATTTTCATGTCATGTTTTTTCTTTTAAATTACTAATATTAAGACTTATTTATAACATCCATCCTATACTTTTAATCAAATATTTGTAATCATAGTATGGAAATTACTAATCAAAATTTCTAAGTTTGCTGTTATAGAAATTTTGACTTTATTGCTCATAAAACAAACCTCTTATATTCTCAATATTCGCTGAGCATCGTCGGGAGCCAGCAATATAAACAATTGATTAATCTAGTCGCTCGGTTACTAAAACGATTGTTATTACCTTGCATCGCATTATTCAGAATTAATAACAATATTGTTCAAAGTTTTTTTTTTCCAATCGCTTTTATTTTAAGATCCGCGGAATCACAATGACTGCACATACTGTATATTTAACTCGTTTTTGTTGCTATTACTTAAGTTCATTATGAAAAACGTAATATTTTAATTTCCTCAAGCTAATTAATATTTTCTTTATATTTTATTTACAAAAAACTAAAATGTTTATAACTTAAACTAGGCAGAAAATTTTAGAGTATGTACTTATGTTTTTGTTTCACCAGTATTTTTCTTGCTGGTTCTCCTACATTATTATCGATTAAATTTATATTGGTTGGAATAAAATCTACGTTAAGTGCCTTAGTCAATGCTATTGCTACCGATTCTCCTATATGATGTGCACTTATATGTATATTAGTTAGGGTATTATTCTTGTTTAAGGCCTCGATCAGCGCTTTTCCTATCGATTCTCCTATATAATCAGCACTTAGATATAGATTTGTCAGAGTGATATTCTTGCTTAGTGCCTCAGCTAGTGCTTTTCCTGCCGATTCTCCTATTTCATTTATAAATGCATTTAAATTTGTCAAGGTGGTATTCTTGCCTAGGGCTTCGGCCAGTATTTTTCCTGCCGATTCTTCTATTCTATTTATACGTATAGTTAAATTAGTCGGAGTTGTATTCTTGCTTAATACCTTGGCTAGTGCATTTCCTGTTGATTCGTCTATTTTATTGTCGTATAAGCTTAAATTGGTTAAAGTGGTATTATTGATTAATTCCTCGGTCAGTGCTTTGCCTGCCACTTCTCCTATTTTATTTTCATCTATGTGCAGACTGGTTAGGGTTGTATTCTTGCTTATTGCTTCAGCCAGTGCTTTGCCTGCAGATTCTCCTATTTTATTATTATTCAAATTCAATTCTTTCAGGGTGGTATTTTTGCACAGTGCCTCGGCCAGTGATTTTCCCGCTAATTCACCGATTTCATTATAGCTCAAGTTTAAATTTATTAACGCGGTATTTTTTCTTAGTGCCTCAGCCAATGCCTTTCCTTCCAGTTCTCCTATATAATTTGTATTCATGTCTAGATTAGTCAGGGTGGTATTTGTACCTAGTGCCTCTGCCAGTGCTTTTCCTGCCGATTTTCTTATTTCATTATTACTCAAATTCAATATTTTCAAGGCGTTATTCCTACTTAGTGTCTCAACCAGTTCCTTCCCTGCCGATTCCCCTATTTTATTTCCGCCTATATCTAAGTCGGATAGGATTGTATTCTGGCTCAGTGCCTTGGCCAGTGCCTTACCTGTCAATTTACCCAACTCATTATAGCTTAAGTTTAAGTTAGTTAAGGTGGCATTCTTAATTAGTGCCTCGACTAGTGTTTTTCCGGCTGATTCTCCTATTGTATTTTTACCTATGTTTAAAAATTTTAAGGTAGTATTATTGCTTAATGCATTGGCTAGAGCTTTCCCTGCAGATTCTCCTAATTCATTACTATGTAAATCCAATTTTATCAAGGTGAAGTTTATACTTAGTGCCTCGGCCAGGGCAATTCCTGTAGATTCTCCTAGATAATTTGAACTTATATCTAGATCAGTCAGCGTGGCATTATTGTTTAGTGCCTTTGCCAATAATTTTCCTGCTGACTCGCCTATTTTATTATTATTTAAATTTAATTTTGTCAGGATAGTATTTTTGCTTAGTACCTTAGCCAGTGCTATTCCTGCCGATTCTCCTATTTTATTACTACTCAAATTCAACCCCGTTAGGGTAATATTATTGCATAATGCTTCAGCTAGTTCTTTTCCTGCTAAGTCTCCTATTCTATTTCCACATAAATCTAAATTTGTTAGAGTGGTATTCTTACTTAATGCCTCGGCCAGTGCCATTCCTACTGATTCCCCCATTTCATTATTATTTAAATTTAATTCTTTCAGACTCCTATTCTTGCTTATCGCCTCGGCCAGTACTTTTCCTGTTATTTCTTCTATTCTAATATTGCTAATATTTAATTTAGTTAATTTTTCATAATCTAGCAAAGACTCTATTTTCATTGGATTAATCAATATCAACCTTCTCCAGCAATTAGATGATAATTTGAATAAATTTAATTCATGGTAGACTTTTCCCAAGCCCAATAATGCATCTTCGTCATTTGGTTTAATTTTATCTGCATTTCTATAACAATTTAATGATTCTTCGTAATTTTCAAGTGAAAAGTTAATGTTTCCACATATTAATAAAGCAATCATATTATTAGGCTCAAAAGTTAATGCCTTTTTAATATCTTCTAGTGCATTTTGTAATTTTCCATATTTGTAATAAATTTTGCTCCTCTTTATATAGGCTAATGACCTTTCGGGCTTTAAGCTTATTGCGTACGAGTAATCTTCAAGTGCCCTGGAATACAATTTAAGCTTTTTGGAGTGACTTGCTCTTCTGCATCTAATAGAATAACTATGTGGATAGGTTTCTAACGCACGTGTATACCACATAATTGCCTCTAAATGGTTGTTGTTTTTTTCTGCTTCAACTGCTTTACGATATGCAGGATCTAAATTCTTTGGCCTTATTTTATTAAAAAATTTTTTTGTAAGCGTATTAAATCCTGGTATTCCATATGAATGTAGCTTATTCAACTTTAGAAAAGTTTCGTCTTTAAAGTCGTACTTGGAATTTGATGGCACATGACTGAGCTCATATGACGTATCAAAATATCCCGCTTCTTCTAGTCGACTGTGAAGTCCTTTAAGAATAGTATTTTGAGGGAGATTAAAAATAGAATTCTGTTTTATTAAAGTTCGACATATTGGACATTCAAATTTCTTGTCTTCGAATTGTAACATCAATTTCCATTCATCAACTGCAAATCTACTAATTGAATGTCCGCACTCCAAAACATAAAAATCTCCAGTGATTTCTTTCATTATTGGACAGGTTAATCCTTCGGCTATTATATTTAATAATTCAGAATCTACCTTTGGTCTATCCTGATTTGGAATCATTTTTTCCTTTCCCTTTTTAGACCTATTTGTTAATACTTTGCAAATATCATTATCGACTTCAACTTTCTGTTTGATATTGTGAATTAAAATATCATCATTCATATTTTCCATAGATAGCTTCTTTCTATAAATTTCCATTTCAACTTCAATTGCCTCATTAAATTGCTCTGCATCAATGTATTGTAATCTAAACAATAATTCTAAAGCTTTGCATCTTATAAAGTTTTTATTAACTTTTTGCAGGGCTTCGATACATATGTAATAGCATAAAGCCAAAGAAACTTTCTGTGAAGTTTTGCTGATCACACCTTGCATCAAATCGAGTAATCCGAATAATAATAAATATGACAAGGAAGTTGGCTTTTGTCCACTAATTATGTCTATGAATTGGAATTCATCATCTAGAATTTCGTAATCTGCATGTGATATTTTAGAATATTCGTCGAACACATGCTGCCAAATAATTTCCAAAAGCATTAATTCTCCATTTTTGTATAATTGTTGTTTATTTTCATCTTCGGTTAATGTTGATAAAGCATAATTAATTGCTAGCACCTCACGCCATGTAATGTACCAATCAGAAATAGGATACGTGAAAGAAAGCTTTTCTTTTAAAATTGGAGCTAAGATATTAGGAGTGACTATTGATAAAACTTGTTGTGCTAGTCTAGTAAATTTTGAAGAAGGAAACGTTTCATTCATATTATAAAGAGTATCCCTTATATGAATAAGAAGGAAATTAACATTATAATTACATAAAATCATATTATGATTATTAGAATTGCTATTATATTTAAATCCGTTCTGTGCGGGCTTTGACGAATCATAATGGACTTTTGCAAATTTTATTAAGCTCTGGTGCAATTTATCTCGAAAGTTCGTTCTAATATAAATATTCTCATAATAAGCTCTTTCTAAAACCGCAAAGTAAGTCCTGAGATGTAGCTCTAAATGAGAACTTGTGTTCTTGTCACAAAAATTTTCAAATGATGTATCGTCTGATATTTTCTTGAGTGCCATTATTAATACATCCGACGATATCTTTACTTTGTAATTTTCTGCTAAACTTTTCAGGCCACATAAATTATCAGTCACGCTCAAATCCTCAATAAACTCATATACTTTGACGTTTCCTAATTCTATTATATTAATAATTGTGTTTAAAAGTATAATTATTCAGTAAGAGTTAAGTATATTGCACTGATAAAGTAAATAAAAATCTAAAATACCTGTTGAGCCTGTTTCTTTTTCCCACATAAATACTCGATCTCGACCACGTCTTTTAGCCTCGTATAAGGCTTCATCTGAAATTTTACGCAATTCCTCAAAAGATTTTACCAATGAATTCACTTCTGCAACTCCCATACTAAGTGTAACATTTAATTTCTTTCCTTCGTAAATAAAAAGGTGGTTTTTAACTGAGGCTCTAATTTCTTCGGCAATTATATAGGCTGATTTGGCGGTTGTATTTCTAAGAAGTATATTAAATTCATCTCCGCCGTATCGTGCAAAAATGTCTTCAGGACGAATATGCTGCATTCTAACTAAATTTACCAACTCATTTAAAACATAGTCTCCCGCTTCATGACTATTTTCGTCGTTGATTTTTTTAAAATAGTCTATATCAAAAAATATAAAGCTCAACAACAATCTTTTTTCATCAATATTTTTAAATTCCTCTTCCACGGTTCTCTTTAAGTAGCTCGCATTATAAATCCGTAGTTTAGGGTCTAGACGATTTTCATATTCTCCGGCTGGAAAATATTGAAGAATACAATTTCCTATTTGAATTAACTCTTTTTTTTTTAAATAATAGGTTTCATGAGTTTTAAGTCTACGACCATTGATAAAAGTTCCAGATGATGTGTCCGAATCTATTATTGAAGTTCTTCCGTGACGTTTGATAATTTTGGCGTGTTTCTTTGAAACATCTTGATCCTTAATAATAATATGATTTATAGGATCCCTTCCGATTAAAGTTTCAAATTGACCAAGAAAAAAACATTGACCTTGCGGCGAGCCCTGAATAACAATTAAAAACGCTTCATCCTCTGTCATTAGACATAAATTCTCTCCAGGGTATATTTCTGGAATATGTTTGGAATGTTGATATACATGTTTGAAGTTAATAGTTTCAAGATTACGGTTGACCTCATCAACCGATGGTCGCTTTTCAGGAATTTCATTCCATAAATTACAGTAAAGTTCTTTGTAATCTACTGGTGTTCCATCAATAGGACTTTCTCTAGTTCCTGATATAAGTATTTCCGCCAAAATTTCTTTGTTTAACTTATTTATATTACTAAAAGGAGGAACGCCACTTGATATTTCCCAAAATAAAACTCCGAGACTATAAGCATCTGATTGTTGATCTTTTTTATCATATGACAAAAGAAACCGTGGATCTACGTAGATTATTAACTCCCGGTCAAAATATTCCAAATACTCACCAGATTCAAAACATTCGTTTGTTTTATCAAGAGATATTGAGAGCTCAAATCCTGTAATCATCAATTTATCGTTATATACGAGAATGCTTTGGGGATTCTGTTAAATTTTGTGAAATTATGAGTTAGGTAAATAATACTTCAATCTTATGTAAAATTTTAAAAATAACCAACCAAATTACAATGGACCATATTTGCACGGTGAATATAACAAATGCCATTGGAGATATCTTTTGCCATTTCTACTTTTTGGAGCCAATTTAATTCCTCGAAATTTTTTTGCAAATAAGTCTTTAGATCTTGACCATACGTGCATTGAAGTACAATACAATAAACATTCAGTGATGGTTCTAAATAATCAAATGCAAATAATTTGAACAATCTGCGATTTTTAAAAATAAAACCCGAACTATGTGTATTTAATAATAAAATATATAATACCTTTGCTGATTCCTAAAAACCTAACTATATTTTCGTTATCAAATTCATTTACTCTTGTTAAATTTTCAACCTGTTTATTTAAAATTATCAATTACATAAAACAACTTAAAGGCGAAAATATTTCTATCAATAAGGAACGTACTTCTCTTATAAAATTTCTATAATATTCGTCTTCATTTTTATATCGATTGTCTCTTAAATATTTGATAATAACGTTGCGACATAATCCTATTTGACAAGCCCTTTTAACGTCTGTGAACGATGTTGTAGAAATATGCTCGATTTCGCTAAACGAATTGAAATCATAAACCGTCATATGATTACTACTAATAGCATCTTCAATCCATCCTTTACGAGTTGTAGGCGAGTCCATTTTTAGTTAATTAAACTACGAATTCTGTACAGTACTGGTTGATTATATACTAAAGTACATATGTGGTGTAACTGTAACAAAAATTCTGAGGATCTACAACTAACGAGTTCTGTACTACAGCATACCAATTATTGGTTCTACAATTAAACCTACCAATACAGCAATAAAATAGATTATACAGACGTTTGGTCACACGCTGTGATTTTTTTTTTGTAAAATCTTTAAATTTATTGGCTTGTGCATATCGTGGGCAAAACTGTATCCGTATTTGAGTTAATTAAAGGTTTAAGGTTGACCTCTAATTTCTTAGAAAATGTTGATTTAGATACTCCTAATACAGCACGTAACATGTAAAGTGTGTTGACTCGGGCCTTATCCTGTGATTAGCTCTTGCTAATTTACAATATTTATTTTATCACGCAATTTATAAATACAGGTAAGTGCAATTTTTAGATAGTAATTCACAAATAAAAATAATGCTATTTATTTTATATTATTGTTTTTTTTTATATTAATTAATTACAGTAATCAGTTGTTTATATAATTTTTGATCGATTTATCTAATGTGTTTTTACAGTATAATGCAAAAACTTTGAAAAAAATTTTTTTTTTTGACAATAAAAAATTTAATAATTTTCTTGCCAATTTGGAAAATTCCGTTATAGATTGTTCGAATCATATGCTTAGATTTGATGCGTATTTCTTTTAATTTAAGTGCAATAGCTTTTGAATAATGGATTAATAAATACAAAAGGTTTTTCATAATGCTATATAACTGTGTATGTTTATTTTTTAAAACATTAATTAATTAATATATGAATTTTCTTTGCACGCCTATTATCTAAATTTATGATTAGTTAATGTCAATGCTTTATTGATATTATAAAATAATGTTATAAATTCAATTCGATAATTTTACCGCAGTTATTGTAATATTATCATATAATAATTTAAAATTCATTTTAACTATAGATCAAATAATATTAATTTATATTCCAGAATCGTATTTATGCATAAAAAATAATTATATAATTAAACATCTCTAATTGTTGTACCGTACGCTGAATAAATTCTTAGTTTATCTTGAGATGATTTATCGCGGATCCGACAACTATGATAATATGATTGTTAACACCTTAATTTTTATATAGTATGGTAAAAAAACAATTTCATAATTACCTTCTGATGACAACCCTATGTTACTTAATGGTCTACTTGTATAATAAGATTCGGAGTGTATAAAACGGCTATTGTTACTTTCACTTGAATCTATTAACCGATTTCGACAATCCTCTGAAGAAATAAACTCCTTTATATCATCTTTATTCCAAAACCATCTATCAAATTGTTGTTTAATATCCCTCATACTAGGTCTTTCATCTGGATTGTGACTCCAGCATCTTTTCATTAAATCACGGAATTTTGGTGGCGTGTCCTCAGTAATTTCAGGTCTTAGACCATTAAATATATCTAGCCCAAGGTAATTATGATTTTTATTTTCAAATGGTCTACGTCCTGAGGTAAATTCCCACATTAATATTCCAAAGCTATATACATCAGATGCTTGCGTAAATGGATGTCCTTCCAAGACTTCAGGTGCCATGTAGGGAACTACTCCATGTATTTTCTTTGATTCAGTCGCAGCAAGGGTTTCTCTACATAGACCTAGGTCGGATATCCGAATAGATCCTAAAATTCCATTTATTCCCAATAATATATTTCCAGAATGAATGTCACAGTGAATCAGCTTCTTCATGTGAATTTGATCAAAGCTACACGTAAAACAAAAAAAAAGCTTGAGTGCATGGATATGCTACACATTAAAAATACAGTAAGAAAATACCCATTTGCAATATAGTGTAATTTTTCTATCCTATCTTGCCAATTAGATGATCTATGATTTTTTGATAAATATTTATGTAAGCTTCCATCTGTGGCATATTCCAATACTATAATGTACTTGTCTGTCTTTGGATCTTTTGTAAATCCCAAACATTGAATAATAAAACTTTCAGCCTCTACTATTTTGTGATATACTAACTAATATATAATTAAAGATTGTTAAAGTCCAACCAATAACTTAACATAAGAAATAAGAAATATTTTACAAAAAAACCAACTTCTCTTAAGAAATCTTCGGGATTGTCGCAGGAATTTTTCAATATTTTAAGTGCAACGTCAAGATTTACTCCAGGTTTTCTGACAAGCGTAGCCTTCTCTATTATTCCAAATCCTCCTTCGGATAAATATTCCCTGTTAGAAATTTCTTCATAAGGAATCCATTTTATTATGTCACCCGATTTAATAATTAATGGATCATATGTTTCGACAGAATTCCTTGGATCCGGTAGATTACTATAGTTAAGAAGTCTACTCGTATATATTGCAAATTCATTTTTTTCCCATGTACTTTTAATCAAAAAATTTGATATCATGTTTTTTCTTTCTAAATCAAACTTTGACCACGCGTCATTATTGTTACGATGCAATGCAAATAAGGTTTTACGTATCTCCTCTGCACTTAATCGATTTTGTGGTTTAGCATCCCAGCATTTTAGCATTAATTCGATCATGGAATCAGGAATACAGATTTGAACCTTCGGCCGAAATCCATTACAAATTTTAATTGCGAGGTTGTTATCGTGGAAAAAATCTTTGAAAGGTGGAGTTCCTGATAAAACCTCAGACATTATTATTCCAAATGCATAAATATCTGCAGCTTCTGTGTATTCCTTTCCACATAAAACTTCGGATGCCAAGTATGGAAGCACACCATATATTTTTCTATTACTGGGTTCATTTTCAGAAATTGGTTTGCAAAGACCTAAATCAGTGATATAAATAATCTTTTCACTGGTGATAAGAACATTTCCGGAGTGAAAATTTCGATGAACCAATCTGGCTATATGTAATTGGTATAAACTGTCTGCAATCTGAAATAATATCTCTAGCCTTTCTGCTAGCGGCATTTCAGGAAATTTAAACAAATGATTTCTGATGTTGTTACCATCTACAAATTGCATAACGATCATTAAATTATTTGTTATTTCATGCCGGGTGATTCCGTAATATCGTGTAATGTAGGAGCGACTACTACTACAGCCACAAACGTTTTTTATCTATTGGTTAACAATTATAGTCTATTAGAATACTCATGGGAAGTGAAATAAATTTATACATTATAATAAAAAATTACACATTAGAATTACCTCATTTAGGAATCCATTGGAGATATTATGTAAATCATCGTAATATTTAATTGTAACCTTTATGTTAGGTCTTCTATACCACCAACCCGATTCATAAACGATGTTTCCTTTGGTCCATTTAGCTGTGTATACTTTACCAAAGCCTCCTTCAGCAACATATACAACACCTTCAAGTTCTGAGTGAGGAATAAACTCAAGTATTTGATGGCAACTTGTTGCTGTAGACTGTGCTTCTTGTATAAGTGCATCGATTTCATTGTTATTACTGCTCCAAGTATGAAATTTTTGGCGAAAAGTGTAAGAATTGCAAGGTTGACACCAAAAATCTGTTGAAGTTTTATTGTGACACTTGTTGCATATTTTTCCTGAAATAAATAAAGTTTTAAAAATTTGTAAAATAAAATATTCTGGATATAGCTTACCCTCTATAAAAGTAAAAATTTATGCGATTAGTCCCATTTCGTAATACGGAATTTTCAAACAAAATTCTCAAATTTAACTTTCCTCCTATAAAAGTTACAGATTAAAAAATATTATTATTTTTACTGTAATAAAATTTGACTTGATTAAATAATTAAAAATTATGAATCAAACTTACGATCTAATAATAAATAATTAGATTATTAAATATTATTTTATACTATTTAACAAAAAAGTTAATAAAAATGACCTTACAGTCTATAGTATAAAAATAATTTATTTATGAGCAACTTTGTATTATTTAAATAACAACAAAAACTTCCCGATTTTAATTTACTCTCTATCAAATAAAAAATTAGTACAATTAAAATACCATATTTGAGAAAAAAATTTTCATTAATTTAACTCACCTCCAAAATATCCTGAATTCGACTTACCGACTACAAAATTAGCGACAAATACATTAAATACATATTTTTGTGATTTTTTAAAAAAATCGAATATATTCTATATATAACTTACTAGCTATGTACAATTCAAAAATTAGACATTTTATCCATATTATATTATTTATAAAGAACAAAATAGCATGATTTAACTTACGAACTGCCATAAAACGTAAAAGTCAATGCGTAAATATCTAGTTATGTGATTTACTAAGAACAAAAAACCATAGCTTTTTGACTTACTACTCTTGAATATATAATCCTTAAAATAAAAGTAATCCGAACTTAGCGTACGATCTATTATAAAAGAATAAGAATATGATTAAGTATTATTTTACATTATTTGCAAACAAAAGTATCCCGAATTTAACTTACACGCTATAAGAGTAAATTATCGATCGAATTAAATATCATTCGATATGATTTTACAAGCGACAAATAAAATATTCCGAACAAACTTACGACCTATTGACAATAAAAATATTTAAAATTCATTTTAAAAACAAATAACAAAAATATCTTAAATTATACTTACTCTCTATTTACATCAACTCATTTATTATTTTGTAAAAAAAAATTACTAAAATTATACCCATGATTTAACTTACCCCCTATAGAGTTAATAATGGTTAAAAATAATATTTTTCATGACATACAAACCAAAATATTAAACTTACAAGGATCTACAATAGTAAAGAACAAACCAAATTTAGTGGGATCTTATGAATAAATTACAGAAACTATACTTGCCCCCTATAAAAATTGCCAATTAACGCAACTAAATTTTACATTATTGTTTTACATTTAATGAATTTAACTTACTCCCTAAAGTTAGCAATAAATAAAATTAAATTATTTAAATACTATTTACTCTGCATATATATAAAATTGAATTGTTTACTGTAAATACTATTTACTCTGCAAA